TTTTATATAATAGTTTCTTCATTTCCCTGTTCTGTGTTGGTAGTTGTGAGCATTTAATCTGGAATACCTGAGTCTCCTGAACCCCTAAGCAGTGTTCTGCCATACCAGGGATTTCTTCAGCAGTATTGTGGTGGTTTGGGTGGATTCCCCCTTTTTGCTTGCACCTTGCAGCCAAACACAGCCTGCTCTCTCACCCTCCCCCTGCCCCTGCCTAGGGAGTAGGGGAGAGAATTGGAAAGAAAAGGGTGAGGAAACTCACAGGTTGAGATAAAAAATATTTACTAATTAAAATAAAATTATAATGGTAACAACACTGATAACAGAATATGCAGATGAGTGATGCCCAGTGCAGTTGCTCACTACCTGCTGACCAATGCCTAGCCTGTCCCAGTCAGAGATCCCAGAGCAGAGACAGTCCCCAAACCCAAACCACAACCCTGGGAGAGCCAGAGCCCGAGCCATCCCTGAGAGAATCCCCAGCTTTCTGCTCAGCCCTGGGGAATACACTGACCACTGATAACAGAATATGCAGATGAGTGATGCCCAGTGCAGTTGCTCACTACCTGCTGACCAATGCCTAGCCTGTCCCAGTCAGAGATCCCAGAGCAGAGACAGTCCCCAAACCCAAACCACAACCCTGGGAGAGCCAGAGCCCGAGCCATCCCTGAGAGAATCCCCAGCTTTCTGCTCAGCCCTGGGGAATACACTGACCATGACATGATATGATATGATATGATATGATATGATATGATATGATATGATATGGAATATCTCATTGGTACATCCAAATGACAATTTTGGGGCTTGCAATTACTACACTTCCCCCCTCCCAGTCCTTTGCACTTGCAGAGCAGCAAAACACAAAGACCTTGGGCTTCTGGTAACAACTGAAAACATCAGTTCTCAACATTCTTCTCCTAACAAACCCCACACTGAACCCAAAACATGGCTATTCTAGCTACTGAGAAGAAAATTAACTCTATCTTAGTGAAACCAGGATTACAACCTTCAAAGGTCCCTTCCAACCCAAACCGTTCTGTGATTCTAATAAGCTACAAAAAATATTTCCAGCTCAAGTCTTCTAATACAGACAGGTAAATAATCACATGAGACGGACCAGAGAAAACTTTTAATTTTGTAATAAAATTTGACATATTCAATCTAAAAACACATACACTTAGTCAGGGTATATTAAAAGAAAAACATACAGGAGAGTCAGCACGTGCTGAACAAAATAGCTTTTATTATTTCTAACAGTTTTCTTTCAAATCAAATACACCAAGACCTAAACAACAATAACAGAGGTTTTTAACCTGTCTCATGGAAAACATTATTAGTGCAGAAATCTTTCTTTGTTAGTCTCTATAAAGGTTAGTGCTAGCTTGGGACAATATCTGTTGGTACAGCAAGAATTATACCGTGACATTTATTATTATTGCACACCCTACCTCCTGCAGAAGAAGACAACTCTTGTGGTGGCCACACAACCAGAGAACCAGACCTCCAGGTGACACAGGAAAGTGTTTATCAAAAGCACAATAAGTCCCTTCTCAAGAGCCATGGATGTTACTGGCAGGGTAACTCCCTGCATTGCCTGGAAAATGTCTCAAATAACAAGTTTTCTACACCAAAACAGAAGTTTTCCTCCTCAGACATTTTACTTTTTTTTCAAAATAACTTGCTTAAATATTTATTTTTTTTTTTTGGTCTGGTTCTTGATTTTTATTTTATACCATAGTATAAAGAGGTTTTTTTTTATATACCATATTAATTTACTTTATACCATACAAAGTTATTCATAAACACCAAACTCAGTGGTGTTGTAATTTCTGACCATCCACGATGGTCCCAAGCTCCTTCACTAAAAAAACAAAAATTACCAGTAACAACTTACCAAGCATCACGATGTACTTTCAGTTACGCTTCTGAACGCTAAAGTACCAGTTTTAAAAGTAGCTTTAAGATAAATAAATTTCTACAGAAAATCATCATACAGAATAAAAATGAGGATTTCTAGTAACAATTTTTCTAAGAATTTGAATTTATCTACGTCTGCACAGACAGCACATCTGCACCTGATACAGGCAGCGTTACGAGGGTACTCAGTAAAGCTGTTCTAGTGTCTGAATTATGCATTAATTGTGTGTATGCATTAATCTGTGAATAAATTATAAATATTTCTGCACAGCCTGGCTTCTCTGTATAAAACCTGCGGTTACCACTGACTAAAATACATAATAGTAAAATATTTCTCTTGGTTAGATACAAAGTGTTCGTATTTCCATTAAGCCTATTTTTTTTACACGCCTATAAAACATTTACAGAAAGTTAAAAATAGTATTTTGTTATTTGTTACCTATAGTTAGGGGGTTTTTTTGGCAACAGACTAACATGTAACAAAAAATCTGGGAAAGCTTTCAAAATATTAAACGTTTAGGACTACATGCAATGTGGACAAACATTCACACAACTTTTGTATCTATTTTGTACACAAAATGAGGCAAATAATCCATATTTTTGATAATTTTGCTGGCTGCTGGTGCAGGCACATGCTGTGAGCAAGGATGCGACTGGGCATCCAGACAAGCTGCAGCTCAGCTGTATGCTCACTTCTGCTCATGACTTCATGCTTCAAAAAACTCTTATCCAGTTAATTTATGCTTAAAATTTTTAATTTCTACTATAACAATAGAAAATAACTTCTTTTTCCTCATTTAAGTTCAATACATATTACTTTCCTACTCATTTTTTTTTCTTTAATGTTTTCAGCTTTCTTCACTGATCATGAAAGAGCAATGTAATGCTCTATATTTCAAACTCTTTATATGCAAGATACAGATAATTATATCTCATCTTTTAAAGAACTTTGGGATCCCCAGGTGAAAAGTTAAAAATAAAAATGAATTTTCATTTTCACATCAAACTAACCTCAAAATTCTGAGCCTGCAGCAGCCAGCTGAGTCACAAACTCTTTTTTGTGTGTGTGTGTGGTTTCCAAAAATAGGAAAGGAAAAGAAAAATCCTTATGACTCTAGCGTGGAATTTGAAAATAACAATTCACCTATAAAACTGTATTAAAATATAAAAAAAAAATCTCACAAAAAAAACCCCCAAAAGAACAGCTCCAGCAATTTGCTGTCCCATCCTCACCTCACAGCTGCAGTTTCCAGGTCTGCTGTGGACATTGGGAAAACACTAAATAATTTTTTTAGTGACTTTTTGGGGGGTTTTTTTTCAGCTCACACTACCTACCAAAATCAAAGGCAGCTGGTAAAGCAGAATTAAAAGTACAAGACTGATAATGAAGAGTTAAGTTCCTTGATAAGTACTTATCCTCAGATAGATGCTCTTAGGTAAAAGTTGGGTTCATTTTGTCATTAATATTACGACATACATGTAAGTTATTAATTATTTAGGTCAAGAAAACTCTCAATAGCGTCTGCAGGGATCATCCTAGTGAAAATACTCAGGATTTATCTGTAATATCTGAGAAAGAATCCACGCAGCCAGAAAATAACATCCAGTTTGTCTCTCATGGTGGACCTTATGAACACGTGGTGGTAATTCCATTTAAACTGGGCACCCACTGCGGAGGGTCGAGCTCAAAATCCCATCACAAGAGCCAAAATTCCTCACAGGACTGGTGTACCCATGAGGTCACCTCTCTCCTAAGTGACCCTAACTTCTCACACCTCTGCTGTCAGCTGGGACCTGGCTTTACAACACCCATTTTCCAAAAAAAGTCACTAGTGCCAGTGAGTTTTCTCCCGTAAAACCTACAAAAGACTGTTGACACCCTTCCCCTTCCTCCCAGTCCCTACCAGTTCCATATGGATATGCTCTCAGCAGACTTAGTTCTCACTGACTTTTTCCTTACAGGTAAAAATACAACATGGCCACACTCACAAAACTGTTCTACAGATTTATTTAAACCAAATTTCTTCTGCTATTTACTAGGAGGAAAAAAATATTTAGTTTATAGATATGTGGGAGGCACTAGAGAATATACTGATGCATAGGCATTACTCTGGAGTTAAAATATCCACTCATATGACTGTTAGAATCTCAGTAAATGGAACTACAGATTTAATTTGAAGTAGAAAATTAATAGTAACTAAAATGCTTATTAAGCCTACCCTTTATTTTTGCAAACCAACAGACACTGCAGTAAATTTTGGCACTCTGAAATATTTAAAGAATTTACAGGTCGGCTTCCCAGCTTCCCTGCACTACTACTGTGCTCCTAACTACACAGATTGATAAAAAAAAATCAGTTTTCAACAGATGCTGTTTTAGCAGTCACAAATAACCACGACAACCAATAACATAACTAATAAAGAAATTAGAAAGGGGGACAGATGACAGTCATGACACTGTCCCATAATACATTTAATCCCCATGAGTGTGAAATCTTTGTGCTTGAAATAAATCTTAATGATATATTTCTCAAAGCTTTAAGGAAAAAAAAAAAAATTAGAGTGGTTTATCATCAAAGCATAAAATGTTAGTAAGTGCAGTACAGCATGGCAGAATGTTCCAGGGCAAATCAGTGTCTGGTTTTGCTCTTGACACGATTTTTATACTCTGTATAATCCCCAGCCTGAGATTCCCCAGTCGAGATGCACTTTGTGTAGGTTCAGTCTTCTTACATCACCGTGCAATGGCACTTCTGAGAGTGGATGTAGTTCCTGTAATCAGCAAGCTGCTTCAGGTACAAATTGGAAGGCCATCGGTGCATCTCTACAAAATTACGCTCCTCCACTAAACAAAGCAATAAAGAAATTAAATGTAATTATCTGCACAGACAGCACAAGTGCAAAGGCTGCAAAAAGTCTTTCAAAATAGGTTAAAATACATTAAGGATGTAAATGAGTGACGGCTTGAAACTAAAAGGAGTAGATTTAGATGAGATGTGAGGAAGAAATTCTTTGGTGTGAGGGTGGTGAGAGAGTGTCCCAGGTTGGCCAGAGAAGCTGTGGCTGCTCCTCCCTGGAAGTGCTGAAGGCCAGGCTGGATGAGGCTTTGAGCAACCGGGTCTAGTGGAAGGTGTCCCTGCTGCTGGCAGGGGGGTTGGGACTGGATGAGCTTTAAGGTCCCTTCAAACCCAAACCAGCCTGGGATTGATTCTGTGATTCTATGAAATACAACTAGAAAAGCAAAGATGAGCCCTGTTCATTTTGCCCAGATCGTACCGTGGTGCTGATGTTCTCTTGCCGTTAAGTCATCAATGAAGAAATTAGTGAATAAAATAAATACAATACTCATTAAAGAGAGCAGATACATTACTGTAAGGATGAATATTCTTTATCATTAGAAGACAGACAGATGTGGTAATCATCCATGCTGCAACGCTATAAGGGAGGGTATTTCAGTCCTTATGCTGATAGTTTCCCTCAAGATCACTACAAAAAGCAAGGTAAGGAGAGCAATTAAGGATTCAACAAAACTTTTGTCTTTCATTGCACATGGTTTTTGTCACTGAAAAATCCCATAACAGAGTTTTTACCCATATTATTGAGATGAATCCCCTTTGCCTTTGCAGAAATATGCATTTCCATCCCCACTACCCCAGATTTCCTAAATCGTGGTCCTTTTACAGGCTCAGACCAGGCAGGAAAGAGATCAACACACAAGAGAGAGACCTGCAGCTTGGTGAGGGCTGAGGCTGGGGAAATTGCAGTGACAATGGGCAGCGGGCAGCACCCTCCCCTTGCCTTGTGCCACACACAGGTCTGCTTCTGAAGATTTCAGCCGTCGGAAAATCAGTGGAGAGCTGCTGCCTTGTGTTGCTTTGCTCTCCCCGAACCTTGAGGTGATGCTGTGTTATGGTGCCCTGAGTTAGAAAGGTCAACTGCCCGTAACTGCTGCCATCAGAATGTGCCTGTGAGTGTTTGTGCCCAAGCAAGCCACATCAGAAGGGTTCCACCCCATTCACTGATATTTACTTATGTCTTTTATTTTCTTTCCTCTGGCTTGCCCAGTGCAAGTTTGATGCAGTGGAGCATGTCGACACCTCAGTTAACCATGTGGAAAGGACTCAAGGGAAGGAGAAAAGCAAAGGGAAGGCTGCTGGGTGTGTGGACAGCACATCTCAAAGGATACCAGTCCACTGGCATGGTGTCCTTCTCCTTAAGTCAATCTCCAGGTGCTTTTCAGAATGGCCAGACTGGCATCAGCCATCCATCAGAGACTTGTGGAATCTCAACCAGCAGCCAACAGTTTGAGTAGTGCTCTGCATCAGCCCTGGATGCTCCACGAGTGGTGGGAGCATGAAGGAAAGTCCACGTGATGGCACAGCAAACATTTGGCTCATCCCTGAGTCACTCAGGTGCCGTCAGAGCACGTGCTGACAAACACTGATAAGAGATGCTCATCCAAGCATCATAGAATCCCAGACTGGTTTGGGTTGGAAAGGAACTTAAAGCTCATCCAGTCCCAACCCCCCTGCCATCAGCAGGGACACCTTCCACTAGACCAGGTTGCTCAAAGCCTCACCCAACCTGGCCACCAACACTTCCAGGGAGGAGCAGCCACAGCTTCTCTGCCCAACCTGGGACACTGTCTCACCACCCTCACACCAAAGAATTTCTTCCTCACATCTCAGCTCCATCTCCCCTCTGCCACTTTCAAGCCATCACCCCTTGTCCTGTCACTCCCTGCCCTTGGCCAAAGTCCCTCCCCACCTTCCTGGAGCCCCTTCAGGTACTGGGAGGCCACTAGAAGGTCTCCCCGGAGCCTTCTCTTCTCCAGGCTGAACAGCCCCAACTCTCTCAGCCTGTCCTCACAGCAGAGCTGCTCCAGCCCTCTCCACAACCTCACTACATTCGTGACAGGCTTGTACACAGCCTGATATCCATCAGGATAACTACAACATGGAGAGAGACCATTATTGTTCCTTTCCACAGAATAAAAACAAACAAACACAACATTTTAAAATTGATGTCCCACTGGGGAACTGGAAAGTGGGTAAGTAGATGTGTATAGATGGAGCCCTGAGGGTCCTAAGCCCTGGGTGTCTGTGCTCTCCTGCCTCACCAAGGGGAAGCCAGAGACAGCTTTCACCTTCACCGAATGGGGAGGACAATCCAATTCCTGCAGCTTCAGACAAACCTCAGGGTGGCTGAGACTGAAGCTCTGTCACGAGGAAGGTGCCACAGAGTATTGTCAAACACACCGTGACACCTGCACCAACAGGAAGGGAAGCATCCCCTGGAAACATTCCCCATATCATGAGACATTCAAGGTCAGGCTGGGTGGGGCTCTGAGCAACCTGATCTGGTTGAAGATGTCTCTGCTTAGTGCAGGGAAGTTGGATTAGATGACCTTTAAAGGTCCCTTCCAACCCAAACCAGACTGTGATTCTATGAAAGCGAGTCCAGTGTGGACTGAACCCACTGGTGGGTGACACCCACCAGCTCAGCTGCCCTGCTCTTTCATATTTAGTCCAGGTTGGGCTATACAAAATGGACATTCCAGAAGATGCACAGATGGATCTCTGGAAGACAAATTCCAGGTCCACACAAAGCAAGGAGGACCTAGCTCTCCCTTCTTTGCCCTTAACGATTACAAAGTTGTCCATCATCACACATTATATGAGCCTTGTAAATGAGGAAGGGGGACCTTTAATGTGGTTTGGACCAAACAGAGCTTTGGCTCACTGATAAGAAAAATCCCCTTCTGGAATACACTGGTCCCATACCACCAGTCTGAATAAACTATGGGTCAAAGAGATGCACCCTTCAAGACCACCTTCATCAGGGTGATAAAACTCCCACAGGCAATGAGGAAAACTTTCTACAGTCACATGTCAGGAAACAAATATATACTGCTTGGGAAAATAAATATCAGTTCCCTGGAAGAACCTGGGTTTACTACTTGAATAGGTATTAGTTATTTGATTTCATGAGATCTGATGGAGCCTACTGCAAGAATCCTATTTTCTTCAAAGAAAATCCAAACTGTTAAAGAGCAGGTATTAGAAGTGACTCATTATCTGGATTCAAATGTGCAAACTAAACAAAATTATGTACATAAGGTGGAGAGGTTGACATACAATGACCAAACTGCCCTTGTTGATTCAGTTGTGGGTGGGAACCTGACCATCAGCACAGGAACCAAAAGATAAGGGGACGCATTTGCTGGCTATGCTGCTCTTCATGAGCCACATGCTGGTTGCACACGAGGGTGGTGAACCATCCAGCTCAAACAGACTCTGGTTTTGGACCAGACTATATAGCCTAGAGAAGTCCTAATTGTCTTCTCATGCAGAAGTAGTATTGTCCAGTACCTCGCTTCTGACCTAAGGAGAACTTAAATACATCACTTGTTTTAAAAGTAATTAATAAATTACCTGAAAGATCTTGAAATTCAGGCTTTTGACTGAAGATGAGGTAGTTAGTGGCAATAAAATGAAGAAGCCAAGTTGAAAGGCAATCAGAATTGTGGAACTGTGAGAAGAAAGGAAACAAAACAATTACTTAATGCTATCATGTCTGAAACACACCTTGCATGTCAAAATATTTCAGATTTCCACTGTCAACATAGCATTTTACTAAATAAAGTGTTGACTGTAGGAGATAACGAAGGAGAAGTCATCAACAGATATATATATATATATAGGTGGAAATCCAAGAATGAATGACACAACTCCCTCCCCCAGTGGTCTGACCTAACCCCTGGGGCTCCTTCGGTCATCAATCTCAGAAATTTTTGTCTTCTGCACAGTAGCAGAGCTCCAGAAAACGGAAGGTAAGGAGCGTGGCATGTTGGTTTTGTTGTCTCCTCTTTCTCCACAAAATCCTGTCCATGTGAGACTTGGAAACAGTTCAGTTCTTATTTTCCTCTTTTGTTTCCCAAATCTGTCTTTACTGTCTTTTTTGCTCTCTTTTTTTTTTTTTCAGCCTCTAATCTTTTATTTTCATGCTTTTTTATGTATTTCACTCAATATTCTATTAGGTTAGATCTCCGTTGCCACTTGCACGTAATACAATTTTCTTTTTGATTAAAAGAGGAAGTAATGCAGCTTTATTTGCCTAAAACACATCTTTTTCTGGCAGGAGCTGCAATTAAGCTGAATTACTGCAATGTGTCCTTGATGAAGGAGAGAGCACAGGTTATGGTATGACTGCTATATGAAGAAGCTCTTATTTTAGCCAGCCTTGCACCACCAGATATCCCTAATCAACAGATTGTATATCAGTGTTAGTCCTTGGGAACGGAAATTAGTAAGAACTTAAAAAAATCTTAACAATTAAACAACCTCCACTAATTAGAGTCAACGTATATATTGTTATTGGATCTCCACAACACATACCTTAGCTTTTTTGAGCAAGCTAACAATGCTGAGACTTGTGGATGCCAGTTCCCTGCTGGGCATGCTCTGGAGCTGCGTGATAATGTAAAGCTCACAAATATGCTGGAGTCTCATCACTTGGTACATCTCAGCACAGATCAAGAGAGACATGGCTTGGAGAATACTGGCTGAAAAACAAGAAAACATCAGTTACATGCATTTTACTGTTTCAACAAGATGATCAAAGCCAGCTGTCACCAAGTCATCTTCTAAACATCTAACAACTAACACAAAATCAAACTGCTGATCATCACCTGTTTTTATTTTTCATTATCATCATTATAAATTTGCTATATCACTCTCTTTTTCCATGTTACATAGATAAACTATGTAATTAACAGGAAAAGAGTAGCTAGCATATTTTAGAAGGCAAGTGCAATAAATTGCAGTCAACATTATTTATCTTGAAGATGCTGAGTCAAGTGCTGATGGTCTATTTAACGCTAAGTGAGGATTAATAAGAGGATTTAGCTTTCTAACTTCTCTTTCAAAAAAAAACCTCTCTATGATATAATACAGTGAAAAGGCCAAAGAGAAAATGGAGCAACCACATTAAAAAAATAAAAAAACAGTGGTTGCATATTTAACCTGATGGACAAGGAAATGTTAGACAGACTGAAAAGAGAAACACACAGAAAACCTAGGAATAAGGTACAATTATTTGAAAAAAAAGTAAAAATACATATCACATAATCGTTCATTCATTCATTGTATCAAAGGAAAATTAACTGTATTTAAAATATATTTCATATTTAGGAGGTAGATTTTCTTCTCATTAAAAAAGAAAAAGGTTAAGACACAAAGAATACTTTAGCTCAATTTTTCTTGGCAAATTCTCCAGTTTACATATTTTTTATCTGGCTTTACCTACAAATAAGACATTCATGTGTATAATGCAGTTTAGCCTTGTTTATATTAAACTTAACAAAACATACAAACAAAATTACAATTTTGAAATAAAACTCAGAATTAAGATTAGAAAGCAATATTTTTTTGATGTAGAAAGAAAAATCCAAACATTTTAATGGACCACAAATTAAATTTCACAATTTTTTTAATCTTGCTATGTCAGCACAAGACAGTGACATTTGTTCTGCCTCTGGCTGGTTTTACTTGAACAAGAACAATTTCTCTTTTTTTAATTGTACAATATAAACAAATGCTCTTTTTTGAGACATTATTCATTAAAATGTTGTCATTTTTCAATTAAATAAATGCTTCTACATTGCTCTCTATCAATGCCCCACTGTGGAAAAATGAGTATCAGATATACATGTATATACATGAAATTTTCTTACCTGGGCAGCAGGAGTCAGTGTAAAGATACTCTAGAAAGGAGAGGAAAGTGTCTTTGGAAACCCCGTACACTGGAACCAGAATAGTATTTGCTTCTAGATAATTACCATTAAACATAGCTGCCATTACCTCACAGCGAGCTACCAGAACTGCTCTGTGGGCTGGTACAGTTGCACCTGCAAGAAGCACGACAAAATATGTGATTATTTTAAATACATCACAATACCTTGATTTTAAAGCTCATGTTTTCTTAAAAGGCTTTAAATTCCCTGAACATGAGTTAAACCAATATTAGAGCGTTTATAATTAACAGGACCCAACAGATAATTAATAGCAGGCTCATTTCATACCAGTCAAGATGTTTACATCTACCTAGTAGCCACCAGCAAACAAAAAGAACTGACAAATTTATTATGAGAACCTGCTCCCAGCACCAGGTGCTCCAAATAGGGCAAACTTTTATCAGTCAACACCAGGCATTCAACCAGGATAAAATCTGACCCCGCTGGAGTTACACCAGTTTACACCAACTGAACCTCTGTCCCTTCGCATAAATATGCAGAGCTGTGAATTGTGATGCAAATGAGTAATTTGGGTTCATCAGTATTCCCATTGGTCATGAACGTCTGTTCCAGAAGTCAAACTTTCACATAAGCAGAGAAAGGCAAATTATCACAGATGAAATCCCACTAAAACCTTTAAGTGTGAATTTAACCAGATTAAGTATTTTGCCCTCAGTGAATTTCCTGATCGTTTTCTTCTGAAAATAATGCTGATAATTTTTCCTGGAAAAATTTTCCAGTTTGTAATACTTGCAATTTAATCATTCACTTGACTACAGCACTTGTAAGAGCTGGTAAGGTTAACAGCCCAGAGCAGTAGAGGTTTTACAGGGTTTTAATGAAAATGTTGACAGCTGAGTTGCCAGCCCCGACACCCAGATTTCTGCAGAGTCCAGCTGAACTCGACAGTCTCATGCACAAGAAAGTGCCAAACAAGTGCCAGGCAGGACAGCAAAGAAAGAATGAGAACTTACAGTCAGATAGAAATGTTTAAATCAGAAGTATAATAAACAGATCAGCTGGCATGCAAGATAAATAAAAATGCTGTAAATACTTCTATAGAAGCTGCTGCCTTTATTTCCTCCCAAACCACAACCCTGCCACCTGCCTAATTCCTTGAAGACATCTGGCACTTTTAAATTTCTCTTCTATTTCTATTCACTTATGCTTTTTTTTTTTTTTTTTCCAAATTATCTATGTGTTTGCACAGAAAATTCATATATTTCTACATAGAGAGAACATATGTCCATGGTATTATATATTTATGCACGTAACTTGAGCAATACACGATGCAGACGTGATGTAAGATATGCATACAGGTTTGTATGTGCATGCAATTGGATATTTACCTACTAATTAGGCGATTCAGTCATGTTATGAGTCTTTACACAGACATAATGGGTCTCATTTTCAATGGCTACCAAGTACTTTTGTAAGATAGAAAGGTCAAAGGAACTCCCAATATTCAAGGAATTAGTTGAAGATTTTACAATTTATTTGCATGATCAAGACTAAAGCCTTCAGCTTCTGTTAGCAATTATTTAATTTTAATATCATTTAATATAATTACTGTGGCTGATGAATTAGGGAAAAGACTTGGAAGAGTTATCAAGCATTAGGAAAAACAGTTCACATTTTAGTAGAGGGTGGTTTTTAAATATTTTTTTTTTTTTTAAATACTTGTCAACCCATTCATCAGTATTTTTTTCCTGTGGAATACCTAGGAGTGGTATGGTTTCATCCACTTCCCACAAAGCCTCTCTCAGAGGTGGGACACTGAGCTGAATTGTTCATGTCATTACACTCAGTATCAGCATTTTGTTCTCACTTTCAAAGATCTCTTTGTTTTTCTCTGGATATTAAACAGAACATCTAGAAAGAATCTGCTTGTCCTCGTGTGCTTATGTTGGAGGGATTCATACTTCATATTTGGCTCTGAGATTTAAAAATGAAAATAATTAAGCAATTGTCTGATCCTAAAAGGCCATTTCTACACGAAGGGTAGTCATGGACAACCACAATTAAAAGCCACCTCCTTATTCTCACAAAAGCATGCAACATTCTTCCCCCTCCCTGTATTTTTATTTTTAAGGGTGAAGACATTTAATTTCCAGGAAAAAAAAAAAAAAAAAAAAATCACCCATGACAATGCAACAACTTGGTGCATCCAAGAACATTTTTTGCAAACAAAACGGGAATAAAAGACTGTTCCACCAGCGCAGCTCCTGCCCATGTCCTTGCTGAGGAGTCCTTGGTGTCTTTGTGAGCAGACCTGTGCAATGCCACCAACAACCTTTGTCACTTAACCGTCTGTCACAGGTGAGTCCACACCAAAAGCCAACCTTTGTTCCCTCAGGTCTTTTTAACCTGGCCATAAAGAGGACTAGATAATTACCATCATCTCAACATATAAATTTTTAAAAAAGCCCCAGCAATTTAGATGTTTCTTTGCACACTTGTGGGGTTAAGCAATTGTCCTGGTGTGAGCAGGGCCAGAGCTGGTTCTGTTCAGCAGCTGGAACAGCGCTGGGGTTTGGGTTCAGCTGGGATTTGTCAGGAGAGAAACGCTGAGAACATCCTGATGTTTTCAATTGTGGCTGGAAGTCGAAGGACTTTGTGTTTGTCCGTCTGCAAGCGCAAGATCTCAGGGGTGAGGAATATTGCCATGGATCAGCTCCATGGGCATTGGGCTCTGCCAAGGGGCTATTCCATCTCCTGTCCCCCATGGGCAGGAGATCCATGAGGGGCTCTTCCTCTCTTGCTCTCTCTGGCTTTGGCTCGGGCTCTGGCTCTCCCGGGATTGCGGTTTCGGGTCGGGATTGTGGCTCCTGCGGGATCGTGATCTGGGAACGGGTCGGGCTTG